AGCATTTAATCAATGAATGGCAAAGGAAAGTGATCTTTCCTTGTTGCGGCATTTAGTTTCCTATAGTCAATGCACACTCTCCAACCGGTTTGAATGCGTGTGGGCACAAGTTCATTCTCTTCATTCTTCACCACCGTGACTTTGGACTTCTTGGGAACTACTTGGACCGATGAAACCCAACAACTATCTGAGATAGGATAGATGACGCCACAATCAAGTAGTTTGATGATTTCCTTCTTTATGACTTCCGTCATTGGTGGGTTAAGTCGGCGTTGTGCTTCCCTTGATGGTTTGGCTCCTTCTTCCATGAGAATTTGGTGGATGCATGTAGTAGGGCTTATGTCCTTGATATCGGCCAAAGTCCACCCAATGGCCGTTTTGTGCTCTTTGAGAACCCTCACCAATTTCTCCTCTTCTTGTGCCATGAGTGATGATGCCACAATGACGGGCAATGTGTCTTGCTCGCCCAAAAGCACATACTTCAAGTGATTTGGCAATGGTTTAAGCTCAAGGGTAAGTGGTTGTTCTATAGAAGGAAGCAACTTGTTAGTTGAAATTGGAATTGAGATTGGACTAGGGAACTTACCATTGAGCCATGGCAAGGACTCTAGGGCAGCCACGGTCTCAATAACTTCATCATCAAAAGCCACAGCATGATATTGCATGTGTATGCCGTGGGTTGCTTTGGTGGCAGCCATTTGATCCCTCACTTCTATGCCATTCGTAAGGACCGTTTCAAGTGCATCCTCATGTAATTGATCAAGGTGTGCCTGCGCCAAAGAATCAAGAATATCAATAGAGAAACATGAGTGACCATCATTAGGAAATCTCATGGTTTTAGAAATATTAAAATCAGTCACTTCCCCATCAAATTCCATTGTTAAAGTGCCTTTAAACACGTCGATCTTAGTTCGGGCCGTCTTCATGAATGGCCTCCTAAGAAGAAGCGGCAAGGATGGAGCATGGGTGGTTTCTTCCATCTTAAGAACGTAGAAATCCACCGGAAAGATCAAATTATTCACCTGCACTAAGACATCTTCCAATACGCCCTTTGGATAGGCATTAGATCTATCGGCCAATTGAATAATCACACCATCATTTTTCAATTCACCAAGGTTCATGGATGCATAAAAAGAGTATGGCATGACATTAATTGAAGCTCCTAAGTCTAACATAGCATGTTTGAACTTAGTTTGGCCAATAATACAAGGAATTGTAAAGCTACCTGGATCTTTGCACTTTAGTGGTAACTTTCTTTGGAAAACAGCATAAACGTTTTCACTTACCCTCACTACCTCTTTATTTGAAGCCCTCTTCCTTGTAGTGCATAGTTCTTTCAAGAACTTGGCGTATTTGGGCACTTGCTTTATGGCATTTAGGAGCGGGATATTGACTTGAACTTTTCTAAACGTGTCAAGAATGTCTTTCTCATGCTCTTCCTTCTTTGTTTGCAAAAATCTGTGAGGAAAAGGAACATTGGGTGGAACGGGGTTAGAATTAATCGAATTTGAACCCAACTTACCTTTGGTGGCTGAATGGGATGCATTGGATGCATTAGGGTCCTTAAGTGCTTGCGGCAAGGGTGTTTCTACCCTTGCCGTGGGCTTGCTTGCCTCTTCCTCTTCATGTTGCAGCTTTTCCTTTTCATTAGGACTTGTTTTGGGTGGTGTGGATGTAGTGCCAACTTCTTTTCCACTCCTCAAGGTGATTGCTTTGGCAGATTCGAACCCTCCCTTTGGATTGACAATGGTTGAGCTTGGGAGCTTGCCTTGGTCTCGGAATTGCCCTACAAACTCCACAATCTGCCCAATTTGCTTCTCCAAGTGGTCCACCCTTTTGTCTTGGTTTTGCATCGCTTTTTCTTGGTTTTGTAATGCTTTGTTTTGATTTTCTTGCCCCTGAGACAAATTGGTAAGTAACTTAAGAAGTGTAGCATTATCTAAAGACGTACCTTGATTGTTTTGGTTAGATTAAGGTTGGGTTGGATCATTGTCGTAGGGTTTGGTGTAAAACCCCGGGGGTTGTTGCCTAAAGCCTCCTTGTTGTTGAGGTTGTTGAGGCTCCCTCCACTTGAAGTTTGGATGGTCTCTCCAACCCGGATTGTATGTGTTGGAATATGGATCATTCCTTGGCTGATTTTGGCTTGGAAATCCAATGGCATTTGCACTCTCCCATCCCCCATTCTCAATCAATTGAGGGCATTTTTCCGAAGGGTGTCCTTGGATAGAACATACGCCACATTGGTCCTTGTATCTTCATTCCTTCGGCCATCTGAGACACAATAGAAGTAAGATTAGCTAATTGAGTTTGAATGTCGGATTGAGAACTTACCTCATGCACTTGTTGCCGTGGGGGGTCCTTTTGCCCAATTCCTTCGTATTGTTGTGCATTGAGAGCCCGGTTCGCAATTAGGTTCTTGGCTGCTATGGGAGTTTTGTCCACCAACGCACCTCCTACCGAGGCATCGAGCATTTGCCTTTCAATGGGAAGAAGACCTTCATAGAAGTATTGAAGTAGAAGTTTCTCCTTCATTTGATGTTGAGGACATGATGCAACAAGGGCTTTAAAACGCTCATAGTACATCGGAAAAGGTTCCCCTTAACTTTGTTGAATTCCGCTAATCTTCTTCCTCAAACATAAATTGATTTTCAGTTGCTTTTCCGATAAACCATGAACTCAACACCCCAGATTAACCGTGACATCACTAATTAACCCTCAGATTTCCCTTAAGTTATTGGACTGGATGACATCATACGACAACCCAAAGCATTCTTCAAAAGTCCCCTACATGACATCATAATAAAGATACAATCAAAGATCATTACGTTCAATGGAAATCATAAGTATTGACAAAGCACTTGTAACTATGACATCATGATACTCATGCTAGGAATTTACTTAACATGATTATGAAAACAACCTTAACTACTTGTGAATATAAGTTTGTGACGATTATGTGAAACTACCTTATATTCTAGCACCAAATTCAAGCATGCAAATTAAGTAGGCCTCCCTAATCAACATACAAGAATAAGTTATCCATCAAACGGTTAAGTAAATTGCATTCACAATTTATGAAATCACAACTGGAATTAATCAACTCATATTATAAATGTAATCATGGTTTCAAAGCATCCCCTAGCTAAAACGTGTTTAGCCTCTCATGTTCACAACAAAACAAAGGAAAATAGAATTAAACATTGAAAACAAAAGATTGATTACACCTAAAAATGTTCCAACACTCCAACTTGAATGCACAAACGTCCAAGGCTTCTTATTTCCTCTCTTCTTCCTTGCTAAGTCACGACACAAGAGTCTAGGGTGATTTGTGGATGATTTTCTGGTTTGTGAATGGATTTAGGAGGGTAGGGTGGTGCGGCAAAGGTTGGGGATGGTCTATGGAGGCTTGGGTGAAGGTATGGAAGTAGGAGAATGGTGGAAGGATTGATGGACGGCTACGGCAAAGGATGGTTTCTATTTGAATGAAGGCAGATTGTATGGAAGAGTGATTACCCCCAATGAAAGGTACGGCTTGGGTATTTATTTGGGAGCAAGAATCCCTAGAGTTTATTACATAGTTTAGGAAAGGATTTAACCCCAAATCCTTAAGGAAAAGGAAACACAAAGTCAGAAATCAAAGGGAAAGGGAAGGTAACTTGCGGCCTTGAATTGCAAGAAAGGGAATGTGATTTAAATGCTGAAATTAGGCAAGTATTTGGGATAGAAAAGGTATGTGAGGTGCGGCATTAACTAGATTGAAATAGGAATGTGGTTTAATGACTTAGAATAGGCAACAATGGACCTCCCTTGCACGACAAGGAAGGGAGACACTAAGGAAGGCCACGGCAAGGAACTTAGGTTGCAAGGGAAGCTTTATTTGTGTCCTAAAATACATAAGGTGCCTTCAAACTTGCTGGAATTTAAGGACATTTAGGATTAGGAAAGGTTAAACCAAAATAGGAAACCTTGGCTTAACTTTCCTACTTCAAGTAGGAAACCTTCTTTGACTAGGATTCCTCATTTGATTAGGAATCCTCACACCTTTAGCTCTTCAATTTCGTCCATTCCTTTTGCTCCAAGCATACGTTATCCATTCCAAGTCCAATTTTGCTCCAAAATGCACCTTTTTGCTTCCTTAGCCATATGAACCTAAAAACACACGAAAATAGCTTAAACTACTAAAATAACTATGAATTAACAACATAAATGTACGAAAACAAGCTAACTAAGTCGCCTAAATATGCTCCTATCAATTCACAAAACTGACCCATGAACTTCGCGATCTGGCCTATTTGCTTCTTCAATTCATCCACCTCTTTAGCTTGATTTTGCATCTCTTTGGCTTGATTTTGTACTCATTGGGTCAAAGAGGTGAGTAATTGAATAATTTATCATTATCCAAAAACATACCTAAATTTGGTTGAACCGGAGGTGGTTAAGGTTGCATTGGTGTGAATGGCCTTTGAAATATCCCATGGGGTGGCCGTTGAAATCCTCCTTGTTGTTGAGGTTGTTGAGGCTCCCTCAACTTCATGTTTAGGTGATCTCTCCATCCCGGATTGTAAGTGTTGACGTATGGATCACGCCTTGGCTGATTTTGGCTTTGAAAACCCATGGCATTGACAGTTTCCCATCCTCCATTTTCAATCAATTGAGGGCATTTCTTAAAGGGGTATCCTTGCATGGTGCACACGCCACATACACTTGGTTTTTGCACTTTGGATCTATCAACAACCTGTGACACAAGAATAGTGAGATTAGCCAATTGAGATTGAATTTTAGAAATTGCACTTACCTCATTTACTTGTGGTTGTTGTCGTGAGGTGTCCCTTTGTTCAACTCCTTCGTATTGTTGTGCATTCAAGGCTCGATTGGCAATTAGGGTCTTGGCAGCAACGGGTGTTTTGTCAACCAAAGCTCCTCTCGCCAAGGCATCTAGCATTTGTCTCTTAATGGGAAGAAGTCCTTCGTAGAAATATTGAATTAGAAGTTCTTCTTTCATTTGATGTTGAGGGCATGATGCAACTAGAGCCTTGAAACGCTCATAATACGCTAGAAAGGATTCTCCTTTATTTTGTTGAATGCAACTAATCTATTTCCTCAAAAGAATGACTCTTGAAGTTGAGAAAAATTTCTCTAAGAATGCTCTCTTCATACTTTCCCAAGAGGTGACGGTTCCAGGTGCCAATTCGTATAACCAATCCTTAGCCTTTTCCAAAAGAGAGAATGGAAAAGCTTTCATCTTCAAAATATTGCCATCCACGTTGATTGGGGTCATGCTTGAACATACCACTTCAAATTCCTTCAAGTGCTTGTTTAGATCCTCCATGGATAGCCCATGGTACTTTGGAATGTGATGCAACAAGCTAGACTTCAATTTGAACTCATCGGTCTTGTCTTGAGCTGTCCTTGGATATTGAATGCATAGGGGTACGACATTGTCCAATCCCAAGGCTAAAAGTTCCTTGATTGTTCGATTATTCGCTGCCATGACTTGTGCTTCCTCTAATTCCTCTTTAAACTCATATTCAGAGCTAGAACTAGGTGGATTAGGTTCTGGCTCCTTCCTCTTTCTTCTCAAAGTTAGCTCAAAATCATTGTAAAACTCCAAGATATGTGCACGAATAGGTTGAGAACTTCAAGTCATAAACTAGTACCTAAACAAAATAAAACAAAATAAAATAACCAAAATTAAAAGACATGAAAAACAAAAGAAAACAGAGGGGATTAGCAAAATTGCTAATCCCCGGCAACGGCGCCAAAAATTTGATGTGATATTAAATAGCACACAAATTAAACCCTCTTGTTGTCAATTGTAGTATATATGCAAGTAGGTATCGTTCTAGGCCTCTACTCTAAACTGACTTAAAAACACAAAAATAAACTTAAAAACAAAAAAATAGACTCTACGACTCTTAAGTAGACTCATATGACTCAAAATAAACTAATCAAACTCAAAACTGCACAAAACAATCAAAAAGACTCAAAACATACACTAGGACTTTGAACGAAAATTGAATTGATTTTAACTCAAAACACTCAAAAACACAAATTTGGCCAGATTCTAACTAATTTGACACAACAAAGTAAAGGGGATTGGGTTTTTGACAAATTTAAAGTGAAGACAAACAAATTGCAGAAACTAAGTAAAAGGATATGAATTTGGGTGAATTGATGGGTGATTGGCTAGCTAGAGGGTCATTCTCCATACATAACACACTTGCATACAAATCAATCTCCAGTTACTTTTCCAATAAACCATGAACCTTAACACCCCAGATTAACCGTGAACCGCACTAATTAACCCTCAGATTTTCCTTAAGTCATTGAATTGGATGGAATACGCATCAGCAACCAAATTATTCTTCAATAGTTCCCTACATGAACAACATAATAGACATACAATCAAGGATCATTAAGCTGTGTGAAAATCATAAGCATTGACAAGGTATTCGTAACTATGAATAACATGATACTCCTGTCAGGAATTTACTTAACACGATTGTGACTAGCAACCTCCACTACTTGTAAATATAAGTTCATAACAATTGGGTGAAACTCCCTTATATTCTAGCATCAAATTCATGCATGCAAACTAAGTGTGCACCCTTAATCAACATACAAGAATAAGTTCTTAATCCAACAGTTAAGTAAATTGCATTCACGATTTATGAAATCACAACTGGAAGTAATCAATTCATGTTGCAAATATAATCATGGTTTCAAGGTCTCCTAATGCGAATTATATAAGCACACAAATTAAAACCCTCTTTTGACAATTGTAGTATATGTATAAGTAGGGATCGTTCTAAACCGGGGATTAGGAGGGATTGCTAAATCACTTGAAAACTGACTCAAAAACGTAAAACAAAGGTTAAAACACTAAACTAGACTCAAAGAATGCAAAACTAAACACTTAAAACACTAAAACAAACCAAAAGACTCAAAACAACACCAAAACACTCAAAACTGCCTTAAAAACACAATCTGGGCAGTTTTGAGCACTTACACTAATTTGGACGAATTTGGGTAATAACTTGAATCACAACACTTAGAAACACAAACTAAGACACTTTCTAACTAAATTGGACCCTAAAGTAAAGGGGGATTTAATTTTTGACGAAATTAAACAAAATGCACAGATTGCAATAAAGGCAGAATGTAAATACGAATTTAATGAAAATATGGATGGAATGCTAGCTAGAAGGTTCTTCTCCACACATGTCACACTTGCATACAAGATGATTTTCAGTTGGTCTTTCGATGAATCATAAAACTCAACACCCCCGGTTAATTAGGTTCGCTTAAATTAACCTTCAAGTTCTCCTTAAGTTAATGAATTGGATGGGACAGCGCATACACAATTCAAAACATTCTCCAAAAGTCCTTTACGTGAAAAGCACAATAAAGATACAATCAAAGATCATTAAGCAACATGAAAACTATAAGTGTTGACGAGGCATTCGTTACTATGATGAGCATGAAACTAGTGCCAAGAATTCATTTAACGCGATTGTTTATAAGCAACCTCCACTACTTGTGAATATAAGTTTGTAACTATTAGGTGAAACTCACTTATATTCTAGCATCATATTCATGCATGAAAACTAAGCGTGCACTCTCAATAAACATACACAAATAAGTTATCAATCAAGCAGTTAAACAAATTGAATCCACAACTCATGAAATTCCAACCAAAGGTAATCAATTTATATTGCAAGCATAAACATGGTTTCGAATCACCCCCTAGCTAACTAGGGGTTTAGCCTCTCATGTTCACAGAAAGAGAAACAAAATTGAAATTAAACATAAAGAACAAAAGATTGATTACACCTAGAACGCCCAACGAATCCACTTCGAATTTCTGCACGTTTCAAGCTCCTCTTTCTTTCTTTCTTCTTGCTGCGGTAGAGAGGGTTTTAGGGTGAGTTTGGATGATTTTCTAGGTTGGGAATGGATTTATGGGGATATGGTGGTGTGGCAAGGAGGTGGGAAGGTGTATGGAGGTTGGGAATGGTGGCTGGAAGGGTGGAGTGGCTGCGGCAACAAGGTTTTTGGGTGATGGTGGCTGCGGATTGAAGGAAGAAAGGGATAGGAGTTGTGGCTGAATGGAATGGTGGCTGAATGAAATAATAGAATGAATGAAAAAGTCCCCTAGGGTGCGGCTTAGGGTTTAGTTTATATAGGGTTTCAGAAAATGAAACCCTAGCTTGTTTTTATTAACTAAAATTAAAACAAAGGCTGCTAGAATTAGGGAATAAAATCAGAAATTAAAAGGGGAGTGGCTGCAAGGTGCGGCTAGGGTTTAGTTTAGGAGAGGAGCATGTGTTTAATTGCCTAACCTAGGACAAACTTGCCCCCCCTTGCACGGCAAGGGAAGGAAAGAAAGGGAGAGGCCACGGCAAAGGGGTTTAAGGGCCCTAGGACCTTTGTTTTGTGTCCTAAAGTGCCTACAAGGCCTTCAAAGGGGCTAGAAAATACGGACGTTTAAGATTAGGAAAGGTTACCAAAATGGGAAACCTAGGGTTAACTTTCCTACTTCAAGTAGGAATCCTTGTTGGAGTAGGAATCCTCGTTGGAGTAGGAATTCATCGTTGGAGTAGGAATTCATCGTTTCTTCAAGTCTTCACTCATTCATTCCTCTTTTGCTCCAAAAGACTCCAATTTGCATCTTCTTGCACACTTTGGCCTTATAATCTGAAAATACACAAAAGTGACTTTAAACACTAAAATAACTAAGGAAACACAACATAAATGCACGAGAACAAGCTAATTAAGTCACATGAATATGCTCCTATCATCTCCTCTAGCTAAAACGAGTTTAGCTCTTCATGTTCGCAATTAAACAATGAAAACTTAAATTAAACATTGAAAACAAAAGATTGAATACACCTAAGAATGTTCTAACAATCCAATCTTGAATGGCAGGCATGGCTCCAAGGGGTCTTCTCTCATTTTTCCTTGAAAAGTTGCTACACAAGGGGTGTGTGTGTGTGTATGATGGATGCATGTGTGGTGTATTATGGTGAAGGATTGATGAGTGGTGGGGAAGTATGATGAATGATAGGGTGCGGAATGGTGTCATGGATGATAGCTAAATGAATAGTTCCATGGGTGTGCGGCCGAATGTGTAAAATAAAGGAAGAAAGAGTAAGGCATTAATTAATTAATTTTGGGAAAGATTTGCTCTCCAAATCCTCAAGGAAAAAGGGTAATCAAAATCAGAATCCAAGAGGAAAAAAGGAAGGAAATATGCAACAAGGAATTGGGAAAGTGAAAGGGAAAGCTGCAGCAAGGAAGGGAAATGGGAAATAAAGGTGCGGCATCCCCTTAAGTGTAGGATTAGGCCTTCTAGGCCATATATTTAAGTGTCCCAATATAATTAAGGATACTCTTGGCAGCTGAAACATAAGTAGGAATAGATTAGGATTAACTAAGTCAAAATAAGGTAGTTTGACTCATGTTTCCTTCTTTGTAGTTGATTCCTTGTCTGCCAAGTCTTGAATTAATTTATTCAACTCTTTAGCATATTCCTAGCCCTTCTTGAACTTCAATTTCATCCATCCACCTTGCTCCAAGCATGTGCTATCCATTCCAAGCCCAAAACTGCTCTAAAATGCTCCAAATTGCCTTTTCTTGCCACTTTAGCCATTTGAACCTACAAACACACGAAAATAGCTTAAAATACTAAAATAACTAGAAACTAACATAAATGCAAGAAAACAAGCTAACTAAGTCACATAAATATGCTCCTATCAATATGTGAACTACGAATGGCTTGATCCCTGTTTAGGGTATGTAGGCAATCTAACGAGATGTTAGATGCAACCATACAATATTTGAGACAAAAGCCTTGTTTGGGAAATTAAGCAATGCGAAAGAATTGGTTGAAAATGTGAGTTTTAACTTTATGATTTGTTGGTTAAATGTGGTCATAAAACAGTGTGTGTGGAATAGAGAAATTGAAGCAAGGCATCGTAAGTATTGATAGTTAAGCTAGTGTTTAGTTGGGCTTGTCACCAATAATTATTCCTGAAAATAAATAGTTCGAGAGTAGAGCATTATAGATTGTGCATTTTACGCCACATTATATGTACATATTTATGT